TGTTAACCAGAGGTATTTGGCCAACATCCTTTACTCTTTGTCTGGGGCAAATATCCATTTCCTGGGAAAAAAAAAAAAGTAAAATAAACCACTAGTTCTATATACTGCTTCTTTTCCTCTTCAATTTCCATTTTCCAATACAATGTAATATATGTTTGTTTCAAGATTTCTGAGGGAAGAAAAAGTAACCTAATGTAATAATACTTTGTTTATGTACAGAGATCCAGTTCCATCCTGCCATAAGAATTCGAGGGGAACCACAGGAGATGTGTGAGAACTGAAGAGAAATGAATGAAAATTGAGACAAATAAGAAAGAAAAATAAATAATAAGTAGGAAAGCAACAGAGAGCGAAACAAACCTAGAGGCACAATCTAACCTCCAATGCACAGTTCATATCCATTTTTGATCTTCCATGAAAAAACACAGCAGGGATTTTTTTTTTCAAGTTATCCAGGGATGCACATGGCACAGGACATTAGTGCTCTTTCCACAAAACCAGATGAACAAGGGCAAAAAATTCTAAACTTAAAGAAAAGCAGTAAGATTAAATTATTATCAAAAATTAATTTTAAGATCTGTGTTTCTAAATTACAACAACAAAGTATTGGGAAAAACAGTCTCAGCTCTGCTACACTGAAGCAGGCTTCCAGATTAAACACATACTTGTGTATACTCTCCTTTTTATTGCAAAAGCTGTTTTACTAAAAAAGGGTATTTGGTCTGTTATCAAAGGATGATGTGGAAGGTCAAGAAAGTTCAAAACGAAACAGACAATTTATGGTCGGCAAGTCCATTGATGGCTAGTAAACATGATGATGCAATCCAGTGAAAATTCTGGTTTAGGAAATTCCCATACCCTCTGACTGCCAAAAATTAGGAAATCCTACACTTGTCCTGTTTTTTCCAGTCTTTCTGCAAGCATTCTCTACTCATCAGTCAAAGGCAGCTAGGCTAGATGGGTTATTGGAGTAAACAAAATCAGTAGTTCATTCTTCTTATACTCCTAATAGGTCATCAAGCCCATTCCTATCATCTTCTGCTGCCATCTGTGATTAATTTTTTAATGATCCAAGTCATGGCTCCAAATTGCAAGATAGTGGACCTAGATTGGATTTCTAAAAAATACACAGCAGAAGCAACTACACGTTAATAAATTAATATTAATGCAAAAAGTAGAGGGCAGCTGACAGGCTTCATCAGCTCAGATCTGTAGCTTTTCCTTAATTCTGAATGGGATGGACAAGGGGTGAGATGGACACACTAGTAAGGACAGCCCATTAAGCAAGAAGAAACAGCACTTAACTGACCTGCAGGAAAGCCTCTAGCTTGAAGTGGGTGTGATAGCACCAAAGGCTTTGCACACAGTTCCTTTCAGTGGTGTATAAAGGATATCTCTTTCGAGAAGAATTGAAGGAAGAGTGAATGCAGCTCTGAGAGAAGGTTGAGTGGGAAGATGGCTGAAAGTTCTACTGAAACCAGATCCCTTGTCCCAAACCATGGTGGTTTCAGTTAAAAGATTAGGGCTTGGACAGGCTCCTGCAGTTGGAATAATTATTACTGTGTTACTCTGAGGGAAAGCAACAACCCACCAGGGAGAGGCTTGATTTTGGAGGCCTGACAGAAGCAATAGCTTTGCAAGTTTTCTCATTCCTATTCCAAGACCATATGGAGCTCAAGTACCAGGTGGGTGGGTATATTAGTTGAGGGAATGTGCAGCTTGTCCTATTCTAAATCAACTTATTCTTCACAAGTGATCATTACAATAGAAAACAGAGCAAGAAACATAGAGATGCTGGGAAACAACCTTCACCTCTACGTAAAAAATCACAATGTCTAGGAGTTGAGATTCCACCTTTCTACTAAGCTCAGAACAGAAGGTAGAAGCCTGGTATCTCTTCTCTGGAGAAGATGAGGTCATCTACTCAGTAAACAAAACCATGTAAAACAATGCACTATAATCTTCCCATTCATTCTCCATCTCTTGCTTTAGCAGCATTTTGCTAAGCTTTATTTTAGCAGGCCTAAAACATGCAAAAAATGAGATTACTTAACTGTCTTCATCCTGAATCCAATCATAGCTGAATTTCTGGAAGAATTCAGAGACATGCAGAGAGTTTTCATTGAAGTATTTTGGTTCCTAAGTTCTCTTGAGAGGCATGGAAGATAAATATTACCATGGTGCTAGCAGAAATGCTATAATGGAATAGCACTATAATTCTATTAGTTTAGAATGGCTGTTGCCATTTTTTGCCCCAAGCGTAGCACATAGTGTAGCACAGATACCTGCTCAGTGTAGTATGTAGTGCTGGTACAGTTCCAACAGTCATATTTCAGTAAATGTCAAATTAAATGTGATTTGCCTGACATACAAGAGGAAAGTGTCCTCTGACTGTGATTATGGGCTTCATGTTGTGATATTTATGCTAAAAGTATCTGCAAAAGAAGCACTTCCTTCCCCTAGAAAACCTGATCTGTCAGGAATCGCAGCAGGTGCTTTAGAGGCCAGCTTGAAAAATCTCTCTGTAGGACCTGCCAAGGAAGAATCCTACTTCAGTCAAAACTCTAGGTTTTCAAGTGACCTTCAAGTGCTTTAGCAGAGTGGCAGCGTTACCCCCTGTACATAAATCTTTGCAGAGGGACGTGCTTCAGTAAAAGCTCTTGTTTGACTTCTCAAAAGTAAGTATAGAAAGTCATAGCATAGCTATGCATAGCATAGCATAACCTAGCATTGCCATACCTTTTTTTAGTTACCTGGTCAGCTGAAACCCAATAACATTAAAATTAAAAACCTAACTGTGACCCAAATGCAATGAGTAATAGTATGGAAACACCTACAGATCATTCCTGATGCACTCAGACCCATGGCTATGAACTCCTGGAACAAATTAGAAACTGGCACTACTGTAATAGCTGGGTAACTCATTTCTTTAGGATACATCTGAATGAGCAAAACATGAACAAACAAGCAATGGATGAAACAGATAAGTGGCTAATTCCAACATGCAGGAACCTCCTGCTTGTTAATTTATCCACCCTAGTCAGTCCTCTGACTATAGGAAAAACAATCCACCGAATCTATACTTGTGTACCAGGGCAGTAAACAAATTATAATGCATAGAGACAGGCTGAACCACTTGCATGTTGTTTTTAAATTATCTTTATGAAAACGAGAACTTGGGGAGGAGCTGGGGATGATTAGAAACTGATGATGGCATACACTGCAGGCTTTTCCTCCCTCCAAACATACCATTTAATTTCTTTAAATTCCCTAGGTCTTCAGACACAGAAAGAGCAGCTTCTTATTCTTTCTAAAGACTTCTAGAAAGCTGGCACTTAGACTTTTAGCACTGTGAAGAGGAAATAAACGTTTCAGAAAATCTTACCTGTTTAAACCACATTTAATGGTCCAATGATTTTTTAAAAACAACAATTTGACTTATGCCAAAGATATCATTACAAACCAGAATTAAAGTACTTCTCCACCCTGACTATAGAATTCCTGAAACAACACAATAATAACCTGAAGGGAGGAAATTCTCTAGGAAAAAATGTGTGTTTATTGTTCATTATAGCACCATTGAAAATGTCCATTAATAAAATAGCATTCATTGGTTTTATAAAAATTCTGGTTCAAAATCTTCTTTTTGGAACTCTAATTGATCCTCCAAATGAGCTTTATTAATCATTGACGGAAAACTGGCAAAATCCTTCCCTGTACTTTGGCAACATTTCAAAATGCCCAATTAGGTCAAATCAAGAAAGCCCCAGAAACCAATTACAGCAGCACTTCTAAGCCAAAAAATCTCATTGTACTCTGAAAAAACTGCAACTTTATAGGAAAAAAACTCAAACAAAACCTCTCAGTCCTGATCTGGTTATGCACCTGAAATACCACCTCCATAGAAACATGCCAAATCATCATGGCTAGGCTTCGTGAACGAAGATTGGAGAGGGGCTCTACCCACGCTTGCTACAAGCGCGCTGATGGCTAAAAAGGCCAATGCGAGATAGACAAGTCCGGTTGCAATGCCAAATAGTCACTCCTTGAACTACATCAATTAATGATATTTGCTCAGAGATTTTATTTATCAGTGCCATAAATGTCACCAAGCAGTACACCACAAGGAACACTGCCAGCCAGTTCCTTAATCTGTCAAGCAAACACTTGCTCCCCTTCAGCATTTTTCTGTACGTCTCATCTCCAGTGCTCTAATTGCACATGTATACAAAGTCTTCACCTTTTTTATGAGTTTCATGTGTTCTGTATCTCACCTCCATGTTTGTACGTTAACAACTATGTTGACAATGCGATAAAAATAATCTTGGCGGCAAGAACAATAGCGACCTTTATCTAACTTCTCAAGAATGTGATCTTTGCTTCTGCAGTACTTCTGCACGTACAGCCCTATGGTGCTGGTGGGCTGGTTGAGGTGTGTTTTGCTGCCAATCCTAATCCCACCACCCACAGTCAAGAATTAATTAGGACTTGAAGATGCCAGAGGGAGGCAAAACAAACAAAAATAGCATTTTAATTAACTACAAACAATAATTAAGATTCTGCATTATGTTTAGCATCTGCACATTTCTGGACTTACTGCAGTGACTCTGAATCTGATGAGATCATCCATCTAAATCCCAGAGGACTGAACAGATCTCAGATCCTAAGTACATCTCCTATTATATCTTAAAACGGTAAATAATTCATGCATTCTTATTGTGAAGACCAGTAATTAAAAATTTTTTAAAATGGCATTGTAAATGAACCAAATCCATATATCCTGGCCAGACTAAAGGACAACAAAATGTGCACCCATATAGTAGGTAGATCTGAGTTTCCAATGCCAGATGTATACCTGTTCTGCCATTTCATAACACAATGGTCCCCACTTTAACATACTTACTTATACTTACTTATAACAACCACTTATTTGGTTGGTTAGGATTTTATTTATTTACTTACTTATTTACAGTTCCCTTTTACTTTTTTTATTAGCTTTATTATTAAACCTGTCATTATCCTAGCAAAATTAGGAAGGCGGTATTATACGACATATTTTGGCCAAAGTCATGAAAGCTATTTGCAACATTTTCCACTCCAGTGCTCTTATAATTACAACGTTGAGACACAGAATCCTCTAAGTCTCTTCCTATCTATTTTAGTTACTCAGTTTTCTCTGCCATTTGATCTTTAGCTGGCTAGTTTGCAAACTGGATCTCAGCAGTTCATCTCAACACTAAGTATTACATTCCCTCAACTAGTGCTTGACACAGTTATATATCCCTCAGAAGTCAAACCCTCTTAATAAAAACTCCTTACCTTCACCAGGAGGACAGGTAAAGTTCCTCAAGTTTACTTTACCATGATCTTGATCAGGGGTAACCACCAGGACCTAGCCATACAGAAGAAAGTCAAGGTTTCTCTTGCGCCTGTCTCTAGAAACCTAAAGGAAAACATCTGTCTGAAGGAACCACGTGGCTTTAGTGTTCTGTCATTTTCCAAAAACAGCTAGACCAAACCTCTTAACATACATTATCTACAGCTAAAACCTTAATTCACCAAAGATAATGGAACTCATAGTACCATTTATATAATACAGCCCCAACATCTCGTTTGAATTTTAGCCACTATAAGGCAGACAAGTGCAACGTTTTAGCTCATACTTTGAAAGCTTTGGGTGGATCCTTTTCTTCCTCCCATTATTTGTTTATTAACCTATTAATATTAAAACCAAAAAAATATTTGGAAGATCCTGCATATCTCTAGCCCTCTTTCAGATTGAATTTCATATATTCTCCCTCACATTTTGCTAAACTAGTAGGTACAGAAAATTAACTGATTCATAATGATATTGTTGTTTTCACCTTCATAGCAAATTTTTGAAATGCAAATTGAATAACTGTAATTTCATAAAAGCAGTAAAAACAGACTGGTCTGTATTTAGAAAGCCAAGGTCAGACCTAAGTATAAAGTTTATGTTAGGATGTATCCTAATGTAAGGATATCTTTTGTTAGAATGACTGGCATTATTTATGACTGATTGCAAATGGGGCTGAATTGCTTTGCTGACTTGGAAAGGTCAGGAAGTTTACTGTTTTTCCTCTCATTTTATTTATGTCATGCCTTTTCTTTAGCTGTCTGTACTCTTGTAACTGCACCACTTTTTTATATTCGTCCTTCTACAAAAGCTTTCCTTCCTTTTTATTCTTTTTTTTAATTTTTTTTTTCTGTTATGGTGGCAAACACTCCATTAAAAGTTCTACCTTTCCTCTGAATGGATGAAGAACCCAGTAATCGCCCCCTTTCTTTACATGAAATGCTGTTTTTGTCGTGGCCTAGAAAGCCCAGCCTGGTACAGGACAGCTATTAGGCTGCTCCCTGGTCTGTGGGACATCCTGTAATGGATCATACCTCATAGTCGTGTACGTGGTTCTGTACAAGAGTGGCTAAACCTCAGCCCTTATCACAGTTGCTCCTTCTGGTTGGTAACGCTTTCCAGGAAATTGCCTCACGGTCTCTTGTTTTTCTTTCAGGTGTATATAAAATCTGTATTTTCTATAAGCACCTTTGGCTTGCAGTGCTCCTTAACTTTCTTGGCTTTCCTTCTGACATCCCCCAGTTGGGGCAGATACATCATCAGCTCTTTTCCTGCTTTTTCCTTATCTTTCCAGCTCTTTTCCTTATCTTTTTCTTGGAAAAGCAGACATTGGCACATTCAAGAATTTCTCAGGTTTATCCAGACTATCTTCATTTGCCAAGAAGATAAAACAGTAAGGTCTCAGGGTTCGGGGTTCTAGTTTTAACTGCTGTCAACATAACAAAACAAGCTCACAGTTCCCTAGAAGAGCAGCTTTGCATCCCTCCCTCCCAGATGAAAGTCTCCAGAAATTGCCTGTAGCAGTTCAGCTTCCTATTTATGCTCTGTTTCCCACTCTCTTTTCTTGAGCCTTTTCCCCAATTTTTCTACTGGCTACCTCACGTTCTGTGTCTTTCTCAGGTTGATCTCCAGACTGTGACAATTTGTGTAATGAAAATAAATGTAATTTATCTCCTGCATCTCAACTTCTTTCTGAGTAATACCATCCTAGGTCTTTTTTGTTTGATTCTCTTGAGCTGGTCAACTAACTCCAATATTACATTCTGAAAATGTTTCTGTTACCTGGAGCGTTTCAACTTCTTTTTAATAAGAGGTTTCTGTCATTATGAAAAACATTTATTTTGATTTCACTTTTTTCCCCCACCTTTTTTTGCAAAACTTTTCCATTTCAGCTTTTTCTGTGAAAACAAAGCATTGTTGTATTTGCAGGTTCCCTTTCTTTCTTTCTGCTGGGCCTCATTTTTTAAGAGATTTCCTTTTTAAATCTGAGACAATATGTCTTTCTTCATTTCCCTAATAAATCCTGATACAATATCCTTAGCCTTTTTTACTAATAATGCCTTCTCATTTATCCTGTTCAAGTTTTATCTCAACTGCTCATATAAGTTTATATTAGAAGATGTATATTTTTTTTTTTATGTTTATTGATTCAATGAAAAAGACCAAGATCTTAAACTTTTGCAGCCCAACATGCTGTTGTGCTTTAAATTCTTAACCAAGTCTTACTCCTTTTGGTAATCTTGCTTGTGTAGATTGACTCTACTTTTTTTTTTTTTAATGATACACAGTATCTTTCTGTTTTCCTTTGCCTCTTGTTTAGTGCTGCAGTTCCCTGCAGTATTTTCTTTCAGGTATAATTTCTGGGTAAAGAAAAAAAATCTTTAATGTGTGAAAGAACTGTGAATTGATTATCATTTATGTTCTGCAAGTGCTTTCTTTTCATCGAGGCTCTTTCTGCTTTTCGCTGTCTCCTGATCGCTCCAGAGCACAACTGCTCCATGCTGCTTGACCTAGGAGAGCATCCTCCTCTGATGGCAGTGGTCACCTCACAACATATGCCTTCAGGAGAGCCTCAATTTCCTGACCAGGACACTGCTTTTCTGGTCATACCGTCTGTGCACAACTTACAGGGACATTTATTTCTTTTTTGCCCAGAGCTGCTCTCCCAGTCTAATAATAATAAATTAATTTTAGTTCTTTATCCCAGTTTTGTTAAGCAAGAGCTCATCCTGCCTTCCTTGCAGCTGATGGTATTTTGCCACTGTTTTGGTGAGAGGAAGCTCTATCCTTTATGGAGGAAAACTGTGCTACAACAGATGCAAGACAGAGAGCCAGGACACACACTCTCTTCTCAGCTCTGCCACCTGTTGCTGCAGGACTTAAGCTACTCCATATTCCTGTGCCTAGCATTTTTCACATAATGTGTATTCTGTGTTAGCTTGTTTACATTTCTCCCGCAGAAGCATCCCACAGGACGCCCTATGAAACTCCAGGTTTTTTCCTCATGTGGCATAGACTTCACTCGACTAGGAGGCCAGTAGCGCCCATTTTTAAAAAATATTTGTTCGTGATCCTTCATAGACACAAGTACGATTAACAGTGTTACTATATTTGCAGTGAGGTTCTTACAACTTGTCTCAATTTATCAGCTGGTCATAGACTGCAGTCTGGAATGATAACACACGGCCACTGCCATCTGTGGCCCGAACTCCCCTGCTTTTCCCAGCCATCTCCCATGTTGCCATCCCGGCTGAGCTCAGCGCTCCCAACGCGCCGCGCAGGGAAAGTGCCCGAATTCCCCGGGGAGCAACCTGGACCCTCCTGCGAGGTCTGCGCAGCTCCTAGGAGTGGGAGGAACTGCAGAAGCAGCAAACGCGTCGTAGCCCCTCCTGGAGCCTATTTTCATCCCATGTAAATACGTCTGGCAAAAATGTAGGGCCGGGGGCACTCAGTAGCTGACACTGCCCTTGCATCTCCAGCCCAGCCCTCGCATGGCCAGCGCGGGGAGCCCCGGCACGGCTGGGAAGGGGAGGAAGCCTCGTTCCCTGGGCGGCGGCACAGCGGGGCCTCCCCGCCCCGGCGGCAGGCCGGGAACCGGGCTGCGGGGGCGACCGGCGGCGCCGCTACCGCCCGGGCGCCTCTCCATCCCCGCCGGTGCGGGCCGCCCCAGCCGGCACCGGGGAGCGGCCCCGGGCCCCCGTCCGGGGAATCCCCGCTCGGGCTTCCCGCCCCACACGCCGGCCCAGGGGCGCTCCCCCTGGCCCCAGCCCCCCTGTCGGGGACCGGCGGGGACATGGTGCGGTGCGGCCGCCGGGGGAGCGGGGAGGGACGCGGGGAGTCTCACCTGCCACAGGAGAGCGCCGAGCGGGAGGCGCCGAGGCGGCTGCGGCGCTTCCTGCGGCGGGAGGCGGGAGCTGTCCCCGGGTGACCCCGCGGGGGGGCGGCGGGACGCGGGGCCGGGGGGGCCGGGCAGGCGGGCGGCTCGCCCTGAGCAGGGAGGCGGCCGGAGCGGGGCGGGCGCGGGCAGCGCCGGGGCCGAGCGGCGCGGTGGCGGCGAGCGCTGCGGGCGCTGATGGCGCGGAGCGCTGGGCACAGCGGCGGCTCCCGCAGCTCCTCACGCCTCTCCTGGGCGCTTCTGCCGGCTTGGCCGGGGACGGTACCCGCAGTTTCCCCGCCGCTCGGCGGAGAGAGGGCCCCGCCGCGCCGCCCCGCGCCAACTCGCCGCGGGAACGCTTGCTTTCTGCACCGCTAAGACTGCCGGCGAGCGATCTGCGCTAATTCCAGCGAGCTGGAGAGCAGCAGGCAGTTCTGCGGTTCCTAGCGAAGTGCCAAGGCAGCGCTCAGGGCTATCGTCGCTCGGCGCCGAGCCCCGCTCCGCAGAGCCGCCCAGCAGGACAGCAGCGGGTTGCATAAGAGCGGCCGCTGCGCCCGGGCTTGGCCGAGGTGGTATTGCAAACATCTCGTGGACACTGAGCACCGTGTTTCTTCCAGATTGCGAAGAAGTTTGTTTGTTGGTTTGTTTGGTTTTTTGTTGTTGTTGTTTTGTTTGGGTTATTTTTTGGGCGGGGGGGGTGGTGGTGGTTTTTTTCCTTCGCATCACTGTTCATCAGTGGCCAGGTGTGGAGGCTGATCTACGGGGCTGCCAAAATATACACCCATTTGGCTTAAATGTCTTGCTTCTTTCTGTTTTCAGCTTCTCTACCAGCAATTTTTACATGTGATAAGGTATAAAAGGAAAGAAAAAGGCACAATGACGAAGCACAGTTTAGCTAGCACAGTGCTACCTGCATTAGAAATGTAGAAATAAGATAAGCACCTACATGACTCCTACAAGGGGATGCAATTAATTTGACTAGACAGCCTCATAATATCACAGCTGAGACAGGAGTGTGGTTCAAAGGCAGTAAATGGATTAAAGCTCCTACCCAGTTAGCATTTAAGCTTCTTGAACATGGCTCCTCTATAACATGATTCTGCTCTGAAAGTGGGATAGCATGTACTCTGTCTCAGTGCTTTCTGCATCATTTCTGCTCAGTTTACATACAGATGTTGCCACTGAATAACAATCCTGCAATGAGAACCGAGATCTTCAAGTAATAGAATAATTATTTAAGTATAGTACACTGAAATGGGTTAAATATCTAACTTCTGTACACAACACAATACCTGTAAGTCTTCACTAAAATTAATCAGAAAAAGGTACGACTCCTCATAATCCATATGAAACATTCTACATATTTAAATTAATTTAAATGGCAGCAAAACGCAAATTGACCTGAGCAGGAAATTGTGCAGGTGAGCAAACAAGCTTCTCTATTCAGATCATCTAATACTTTGGCCCTGACTCCTGGCAGCACACTGCAGAGGGTGGCTCTGTATTATGCTTGTGGATGTATCAAATTAGGAACTCACTGTAATGATCAGTGATCTAGAAAAGTTTTAATGTATTCTGAAGACCTGAAGAAGGACTACTCTTATTCTAGAGGGGGAAAAAAGCTATGTGCTCTAAAATATCTAGGGGTGATGAACTGAATTATATTTTTTCATTTTTATATGATCAGTTTTTCAGCTAACACAGATACACAAAGTGTGATTGAACCACCTTTGTCCCCTAAGTCTAGTTGCTCTGTATAGAAGGAGGTCTGCAGACTTGGACTATAATAAGCCGGGAAACAGATGCTGTTACACACACTATTAATGACAGACAGTGAGGGTAGTGATGACAGTGAAATCAAAAAGTCAATGACAAAGCAGCAAGGCGAAGGCAAGTAAAGACATAAACTTCACCTTAATGTAGCAGGGCAAGGGAAGCGAGCTGCATGTTCATAGGGGTGTTACCAGTGACGCAGGAAAGAATGGTGACCATCAGAAAAGAAGAGTGTGTTCAAGACTGTTTCTGAGATGTATTTTAAGGATTTTGTTTTCTAGGGAATTTCCATAGTTCCATACAACAGCAAAAAAATGGATCTAAACTATAAAGGACTTTACTATTGATGCAGTTTCATTTTTTTCTGTGCTAAAGCACTAGATAGGAAGACACAACTGGCTGGAGCTGGGAAGAACTGAGGAATATATTGAAGTAGACAAGGCCCAGTGTAATGAAAACAATGTCTGGAGTATGGTCTGAAGCTTTGCTATTCATGCTTCCTACTAGACTGTCGCACTATTTTCTATAATGATGATTTTTTTTTTTTTGAGTATAGAAATAAAAATGACCAGAATTGTGTTTCTGTATTTGCTTACAAAAAAAGGCACATCTTCTCCCACAGACTTTGCCCTTAAAATCTTGAGTGGAATGAATCTACTGGAAAACTCCCAGCTATACAGTGCAACCAGATGAAACAGCTGTTTGGTGCATGCAGCTACTGTGTGAGTCTATTTGAGCCACTACAGTATTTTTACCCTTCCATCCATACATCACATGGTAGCACCTGGTTTGCTGTGTTGTACAAACTGGAAGGAGTTCCCGTACACTCTCAGTTCTCATAAAAGTTGGTTTTCATAAAAGTCTATTTAAAAGATACTTATTTTCTGGGATGGTGGTTATTCCTCAGTTTGGAAACAGCAGCCCAGAGCTCCCTCATGCTCCAGGAGCTTCTGCAGTGGGAGGGGGCAGGGGAAGGTTGGCCTGAGCCATCCTTGGTGGGAGCCACCAGGAGCATCCTGGCAGCAGCTACATGGGCTCCACACACGCAGCAAGCTTTCTGATCTTCATGGTAGGGAGTCACACTGCCCTTCACAGTGTTCAGCAGACGGTGTACTTTTAGCTCTCCCCTTTTGCATATACATCTGTGTATACTTTTACCCAGTAGATTCTTCATTTTTATCACCAACATATATCTCAGATAAAACTTTCTTGGGTTTTTTTTTGTTGATATCTGACATACTGTTAAATTTTGTAAAACTTGTTAGAAATTCACTTATTTTAAAAAATACTATTTTTTCTAGGTTTAAGTTTTTCCAAGTGTTTTATCAGGCTTCATAGATGACTGCCTATCCTTCGGGTAGACTTCCAGCTTTCTCATCCATCTGTCAAGTTGAAAATAACATGAGCTGAATATTCAGTTTGTTCTTTAAGTTGTAGATTTTCAAGGATTGAATCTTATTTAAGGGGATAAATGCAGCTGCTGCCTTGCCAATTTGTGACATGATTTCATTCTGGATATCCCCACTGGCTTGCATATTACTGCCAAGTTATTGAGACTGACTCATCTCTTGCACTCCTTTGCATTCTAAAGCAATGCTTGAATTTTAGGTTTCTTGTTGGAACGATTATTTTTCATAATATTTTCGCTAGCCCTGTGTGTACGATCATGCTCAGTAGTTTTTCAGCTCACCTTTTCAGATGGTTTTACATGTCTGAGTGGACACTGAAGACCTAACTCACTAGCCAAATAAAATTTCAGCATGTTGCTATTAAGCTATTAATTATCTAATAGGCTGGCTGCCTCAACATTTCTGATAGTGAATCAGTAGCAACCCCAAAACATTTAATAGTTTACACTGTCATTTTTTGTTGACGTGCATTCATATTAAAAAACTTTTGCATTTCTTTTTCCAATACAACCTTGTTCAGTGTTAATCATCAAGCAGAATATTTTATCTCATTTCACTTATACTTTTTTCTGTGCATGCTGCACCCAGGTATAAAACTGTGTTGATATTAATTACTTTCTTTGATTTATCACATTGTGTCAAGACACAACAAAATAAAACAGAATAGAGACTGTCAAATGCTTCTGAGAAATGTATGTGGTTTGTATCAGTATTTTTTTGCCCTTTAGTCTTCCTCTGACGATTGTTTTTAGTCTGTGCTGATACACACTCTGAGAAGTTAGAAGTTTCTGCCCTGAGCTTTGCCTCAGGCAGCTCACCATATGAAAAGATTTATCCACCAAGAAGAAATAAAGGAACAGACGAATTCTGTGGAGATGACTCAGTGGACTCTCCTGGCATTGTTACTCAAAGAACATAGGCTTGAGAGTTGAAAAATTTCAGAAAGAGAAAAGCCCTCAACTATGTAGTGGTTCTCATCCAGTGATGCAAACGTGGGCTGTCTTCACAGCTCCTGTCCTCACTCAGCCCTGTCTTGGCCATCCCTTCTCTCTCCAGCCCAGTAACTTTCCCTCTCACCTTTCTAGTTAACTCTCTCTTCACGTGAACCTCGGTGAAATCTGCAAGAAGTGGCATTAAGAGACTAAGTCCCTAAGTGATCTTCTGTTTTTTGCATCTGTAGGAAAGCATGGCTGGTCATGTGTTAAAAGTATGGATTTCAGATAGTAAAGAAACATGGGTTGTTGATGTTTCTAGTAAGAGCATACAAAGCAATTTCATTACTTTGTTCTGATCCAAAGTGCATTGAAAATTTCCATTGCTATCATTCTGTTAGGGAGCCTCATTGGCTTAAAATCAATATCAAACATGCAGTTGAAATGGCAACTTTATTCAAGATTTCTTCTGTAGTAATATGCTGTCATACACATTCTGAGTGGACGTATGACAGACATCCACATACTGTCTCCTTTTAAGCAAAGTATATATAGATATATTTCTTACAAATCCCTGCAGGAACAGTAAGGAGAAAAGCCTTTCAGCAGAAACTAATTCTAAGCTCCATGGTTTTGCTAGTGGGTAAGGAATCTACTTCCCTTAAGTGAAGGCATCATTTGTTCATTCCCTGATAGGGAACAGAATTCTCTGTAATGGGAAGAGAGGGAGAAAGCACAGCCACTCCTTGTGTTTGGTTCTATTTTCTGCCCATGTTAAATGACCCATGTAATGAGTAAAGAATTGTTTAGATCGAGTGGTACACAAGCATGTTGGGTCAATGACTAGTGAGCTGCTAGCTGGAGTCTGAACTGGCAATGATCAAAATTGATGCTGTCATTTCACAACTTTTT